TTTCTAAGGATTATGTAACTCTGACGCAAGGCAGTAACTNTACACATATGCTGCATATTTTGACGAATTTATTGACTTACTGAAGAATGAATCTTGAATATAGTTGTTTTGTTATGGTCTGGCCGTGGGCGGTGCAGTATCCATTTCAAAGCGCCATTTAGCCTTAGCAGTTAATTCAAAACAAAAACGGCGAAATGGCAATCGAAGGTCACCGACCACATCGGGTCCCCTTTGATTTCAACGGAGTACCGACCTCTGCCCAGCCGTGTTGATGTTTATCAAAAAAACAGTTGAACCGCACAAAATACAATGCATGCAATTAAAATAAACTGTGCCCTTTAGATTCTGGGCGGTAGATTAGTAGGCCGATAATGATCTTAATGGGCATTTTTTGCCTGGTTCGTGTTTTTCCCGGTTATATTGATGTTTAATGACAGTTGTCTTGGCTGGTATTATATCAATTTGCCGCTGGCGTCACTGGATAAATAAGTTGGAAATTGTCAAATTTTTTTGTTTTCTATGAATTTTGAATTTACACCATAGTCTTCAAAATTTTTACCATTAATAAGTATAGTCTTTCCGAAGTCAGTTGAACATGTAAAAAACGTCTGGCAATAAAATTTAATGACTTTCATAGGCGTCCCTAAAAAAGTTTTCTTATATTGATGGCAAATTTCGTTTTGTTCCATTTCTAAAGGTCTCCAAAATGTCATGTTATAATATTATTTCTCCCTTTCGCAATTGTAATATGATTGATTATAGAAGGTGCCTATAATAAATTAAAATTACCTGAAACACACCAAATTCCACATTATTGCACTGCACTGCTGGACAATTTGTCAACCACTTGTCAACAGCTGAGATTTATTGCCCAGTGGCCCAATGCATGGAAACAAGTTTTTCAAATAATTCAATGCCGAGTTGCTGCATCAGCGACCGAACTTGGTACATACTGTCAACCTTTTGGTTCTTCAATTGATATCGGAAATTCAGTGTATTCGTTTTTCAAGTGTACCATGGAATGAAAGATACAAAATCTGTCAAATTAGAGCAAATTTATGACATCTTATAAGAAAATTTTGAGTTCAAACGGTCCGCCTCTTTGGGTTTCCAATTAATAAAAAAAACATAATTTTTCGTTGATAACAAATATAGATCATTTCAACATGTCAGTCATTAAATGTATAATTTATTCTCTACTTTTTCGTTATACTATGTTGCTAAAGAAATAGCAAATAAAATAATTTAATTAATTAATTATTACATTCCACAACCATCTTCAATTGAAGTCATCTCTGCTATTTTGCAGATTTTTAGTTATCGATTATTACAGACCATGCACTCAAACCTACAATTCTTAGTCACTTGATTTATTTTTCTTGATGATCTGTTACCTTCTGCTTTGGAGGTACGTTTGACTCTTGCATCTTAGTTAATTTTAAGTTGAATTTCTGAAAGTTTATTTTACTATCAACATGAATGACATGACTATTACAATTTTTCTAATAGTTTTCTAAGGATTATGTACTCAACTCTGACGGAAGGCAGTAACTCAGTCAGGCCCAAACTAATTATATTTCTATCAAAAAATTTCGTTAATGTGCCTGCTTCTGCATTTCGAGTATTAAAATAATAAAAATAATAGTAGAGAAAACCCGCAACCAAAAAATAGCCAAGAAGTTTTAATCCAAGCAGAATCCGATTCTGATCTGAAAGCTTACGAAGTGCAACGGAGGCTAGCCTCCTCTATTCAGTTAAAAAACCATAAGAACCGAGCGTGGTGAAACAACAACAAATCAAATGAAGTAACCCTTATGTACAAGATATTTAAGATATGCAGAGAGAAGCATAGCCTTCGCTTCATTTCTGGTGCCTATAAATAAGCGCAACGTTGATTTATTAACGAAAAATGATGATATTGTAGTTACGCAATTGAAGTGAAAATAAATAATTACTAATTGCATATTAGCAATTATAAAGAAAATTAAATTCATTCCTTAAAATGTTTCGAAAGTTGCCTCTTGACCAAATTTAACTCAGTTGGGCGATGAGCAGTAGACTTAAATAGTGACGAAAACATAACACCTTAACAATAGCACATGTCCATTCAGATCTAATACAGTCGCTCTTCCTGGTCCTGCTACTGCGCATCCCCCAAGATTATCTTGTTCAAACTGTACCTGGTGCCAAAGGTTGACTTAATGTTAATAGAACTTACCCGGAATAAGAGCATTAGCTTAGAACTAGAAGTGAAGAAAAACGAATTGGATCTGACTATTTTTTCCGTTGTTTCAGGTCGGATCGTAGCTGAACCCCTTCTCCAGACCGGGTCCGCTGTTCTCGTTTAGTCCGGCAAGAATTTTCCTGTAACCGTGCGCGCTTTGGACAGCGCCTCCGCCGTCAAGCTGGCAGCCAGTGCACTAGCCTCAATGAATCCTCACTACCATCCTTACGGGGGGCCGGAGCTAACGTCTCCGCATCCCCCCTCCCCCGATAACAACAACTACCACGGCCACCCTGGACCTGGGGGACCTCACAATCGTATGCACCCGACGAACGGACACGCCATAGGAACACTCGGTAAGGGTCAATGATGTTTTAAGTCAAAATATGATGTAAAAGTGAATTGTGATTACAACAACATCAACAAATTAATAAATAGTCGAGGGGTATTTCTGTGGATCTTTAACTGAGATTTTGTTGATTGAATCTAGAGTATAGTGAAAGAGAGAAACTTTTACTTCGAAAGGTCTGATAATAATTGGATTTCTCAAACTAATTGGGATTTACACAACTTTACATTTTACATAACCATGCTAAACGTATAAGTTGATAATGTTATTTATCAGATTTACATAATGCAGATTAAACTAACATGTACTGAATTTTTTGGATGTCTCCTTCCTCATTTTTCTTTCTATCTGAACTGAAGATATTCATGTATTTAAATATTTTAGTTTCGACTTCCGAAAATGATAATAAAGGTTCTCATCAACTTCGTCTTTTTTTAATTTAAGTAAAAACTTGGATTAATCAAGTCATATTTTGGTTTGGTTGAACTAGTTAAAATATATTTTAAATACTATCTGAATTCTTGATATAATCAAGGATACTAAGAAAGAAAATTATCCCAAGATGATTTGGTATAACTCTATTGAAACTAGATAATGTTGATTTGAGATACTTAATTAAAATCATGTTTTACTACTAATAGAAATCATATTGCTTCAACCAAAAGAAGTATGAAAATTGCTGATCAAGAAGAGTCATGAAAATATAGTTGCTTTCTTGTTTGAATCAGGTCATAATCATGGGAATGCTAATCAAGAATCTATCAAATTTAAATCAGTTGCCAACATATAAAAACTGACTTCTGAGATTTATGATAAAGCTACTAAATCTTTGTTATTTTAAGCCAAATCATTTTTGATGTGATAAACCACTGACAAACTGAAACCTAGATTTGAAATCTCAACAAACGAAGCAACATATCTTCAATAACAAAATACATATACAGTGTGGATACAAATTGTGGAATATTGCTTATATTTCTTAAAATATTTGTCATATCAAAAACATGTTTTAATAAAAGTGTTAGGGGAAATTTTTTCCCGTTTAGTGATATCAAGCAATCTTTCGTAGCACAAAAAATGTGGTTGCCAAGGTAACTGACCCTTCTAAATACGATACAATACAATTTTAATGGGGTCACATAAGAAAAAATACAAAAAATCTAAGTTTTCTATTATGCTTTTGACACTGTTTATCAAAATAATTATTAACATCAAGTTAGCCATGCCAAAATCAATGCGAAACTGTCACTAGCTGTCAGTTGCTTGTAATTGTGTGCATTGTTGCAGTAAACGTACTTTTTTACTCAATTTTCTGTGTACTTAAATATGTACTTAGTAAGTTATAATGGCGCTCGAATTAAGTGAAACGGAAAGAATACAGGTTTTAATAATGGTGGGGATATGATGACAGAAAAAAACACAGCGGGAAGTATGCGAGTTGTTTAACGAACTTCATCCAAACATACCTCAAATAACACAATCTTGTGTTTCCAAATTGTTAAAAAAATTTAAAACTCTACATAGAGGGCGGCCAAAAACAGCTACTGATGACGATACTACTTTAAAGTGCTGCTGTCAATACAAGAGAACCCACATTTGTCCAGTCGGGAAGTTGGTAGGGTGCAAGCCATTTCACACAGTTTTGTGTTGAAACATCTCCACAAGGAAAAGTTTCATCCTACAAGATGCAGCTTGTTCAAGAGCTTGTGCAAAATGATTTTGCAAAACGTGTTAAATTTTGTAACACTATGTTAGATTTTAACATGGATTTGGAATTTGGCAAAATGATTGTGTTCACCGATAAAGCCACTTTTATGCTTCATGGATTTTATAATAAACAAAATTATCGATATTGGTGTCATTGTAAATGCTTTGGAGGCTCTAGGTCCAATTCATCAAATGTGGTTTCAGCAAGATGGAGCCCCTCCACATTATGGAAGTGCCATAAGAGATTATCTAAACGATTTCCTGCAAGGTGGATAGGTCGCGGAGGTGCCATTAAATGGCCAGCAAGGTCACCCGATTTCAATCCATGTGATTATTTTTTGTGAGGTTACTTAAAAAGTATAGTCTACAAAGAAAGACCAGTAGATTTGGAAGATCTTAAAGCGAGGATCAGAATCGAGCTACGGCAAATTCGACACCACACGTTTACTTGAGTGATTCGTTTTTAAAGAGACTAAGAATGTGCCTAAACAATAATGGCCGTCATTTTGAACATTTAATGAATTAGTTCACATCCGTTCAATTTTTTTTCATTTATCCTATTAAAATTAGCTTATAACGTTGATCTTTTGATTTTTTGACTCCTTACTTTAGGACATAAAATAAAATTATAAAAATTGAATTTACTATATTTTTTCTTATGTNTAGAACTAGAAATGAAGAAAAACGAATTGGATCTGACTATTTTTTCCGTTGTTTCAGGTCGGACCGTAGCTGAACCCCTTCTCCAGACCGGGTCCGCTGTTCTCGTTTAGTCCGGCAAGAATTTTCCTGTAACCGTGCGCGCTTTGGACAGCGCCTCCGCCGTCAAGCTGGCAGCCAGTGCACTAGCCTCAATGAATCCTCACTACCATCCTTACGGGGGGCCGGAGCTAACGTCTCCGCATCCCCCCTCCCCCGATAACAACAACTACCACGGCCACCCTGGACCTGGGGGACCTCACAATCGTATGCACCCGACGAACGGACACGCCATAGGAACACTCGGTAAGGGTCAATGATGTTTTAAGTCAAAATATGATGTAAAAGTGAATTGTGATTACAACATCAACAAATTAAATAGTCGAGTGGTCTTTCTGTGGATCTTTAACTGAGATTTTGTTGATTGAATCTAGAGTAGAGTGAAAGAGAGTAATTTTTACTTCGAAAGGTCTGATAATAATTGGATTTCTCAAACTAATTGGGATTTACACAACTTTACATTTTACATAACCATGCTAAACGTATAAGTTGATAATGTCATTTATCAGATTTACATAATGCAGATTAAACTAACATGTACTGAATTTTTTGGATGTCTCCTTCCTCATTTTTCTTTCTATCTGAACTGAAGATATTCATGTATTTAAATATTTTAGTTTCGACTTCTGAAAATGATAATAAAGGTTCTCATCAACTTCGTCTTTTTTTAATTTAAGTAAAAACTTGGATTAATCATGTCATATTTTGGTTTGGTTGAACTAGTTAAAATATATTTTAAATACTATCTGAATTCTTGATATAATCAAGGATACTAAGAAAGAAAATTATCCCAAGATGATTTGGTATAACTCTATTGAGACTAGATAATGTTGATTTGAGATAATTAATTAAAATCATGTTTTACTACTAATAGAAATCATATTGCTTCAACCAAAAGAAGTATGAAAATTGCTGATCAAGAAGAGTCATGAAAATATAGTTGCTTTCTTGTTTGAATCAGGTCATAATCATGGGAATGCTAATCAAGAATCTATCAAATTTAAATCAGTTGCAACATATAATAACTGACTTCTGAGATTTATGATAAAGCTACTGAATCTTTGTTATTTTGAGCCAAATCATTTTTGATGTGATAAACCACTGACAAACTGAAACCTAGATTTTAAATCTCAACAAACGAAGCAACATATCTTCAATAACAAAATACGTATATATCAGAATGTCTAGCTGTTGAAAAAATAATGGTACAAAACTGATTTGGTGTAACTTTATCAATACTAGATGTTTGATGATTTTGATCCCATATCATTATTAATAAAAATATTGTTGCTTAAACTAACAACGACATTCGTTTTTATTTTTTCAATATACATACGTCAAATTGATGCATTCTGAATCATTTGGATGACTTTTTAATCTTCTTTATGATCATATAAAATTTTATCCTCTAGTAATCAACTAATTGTAACTATTTCTACCTTCAACAAGTCATCATCAAGTTATATTTTAGTGATGCTGCGATAGAAGCAGTTGTATCGTAGTTTATGTGATATTTTTGGCCCTACTTTGTCCAGATCATTTATACTTTAAGCAGAACATTTTTACGTTTGGTATAGAAAATTGGAAATTTATATAGTAATTAAAATAAATTAAGTTATAAACATTCTGTTGTCATTGTTTTGAAATTTAATGTTTATATATTAAAAGTGGATGGCCATATGGTGCATAATATAGTCTTACATTAAACTCTACTTCATATTCATGTTGGTGGTAAACAAAACTCGTACAAAAGGCATAAAATTGTACGTAATTATAGTTTTGTGGAAAAAAGAACAGGTGCACAAAATAATGAATGTTTTTATTGGCTAGATGACAATAATAAGGTATTGAAGGTAATTATACAAAGAGGTAGCATAACGTCCAAGTAAGTGAAGAAGTTTGGAGACGTTAGTAAATGTTTGTTTGATTTGCGTGATGTAAGTAAAAACGTAAAATAAATACAGCCAAAAAAATAGTATAATTGTTAATAGTTTATGGCACGATATCAAAACCTTGGCATCATTATCCTTGTTTATACGATTTCGCAATAAAACTACCTGCTGTGACGTGCGAAGCTGTTTCTAATTTACCTCCTCTATTGTTTTTATTGTAGCTTAAGTTAATTTTTGAAAATAACTAGTTTTCATTAAAACTTGTTTTATTGCCTGTCATAAATTTACTTAAGGATTTTATGGCTATTATTCCATAAACATGTAAATTGGAAACGTTTAGAACCATTTAAAGTACAATAAAATTTTCTGAGAGAATGGTCACATGTTCCTGAATTCAAGAACGCAATAGACCATGATGAAAATTTGTTAAAAAAAATTGAAAGTAGGAAACAGTTTTAGTTAATACTGTAATTTCTTTTATTTTATAAGCTTTGACTATGTTAGTACTTTGCAAAGGTCCATTTAAGCTAATTCTAAGCAGTTATTTTTTGCATTTATGTCGTATACAATTTTGTTTGCTTCTTTAACCACCTTAACGTTGAACAAGGAACATATTTATATTGACATTAGTAACACATATTGTTTTTTCATATTCCGTTATGGAAACTGATTATTTTCGAGCTGTTTTTCGTCATTTTCATATGCCGCTGCTGGGCACGCTAGCCTAACCTCAAACAACTGCGCACGCCAGCTGCGAGCGTATGCCCAGTTGCCAGGCTTGCTTTGTTATCAAATTTCATCTTTCTTGAACACAAACACGTCGCAGCGTCGCTAAACACTGAAATAAACAATATAAGGTTGACTTAAACTACACAAAACGCCTCATCATTCTATCTTTTTACAAAATTAAATTTAATAAAAGGCAATACCGCACAATACAAATTCCACTGTAATATGAACAGATGAATTGAAAACTGAGGTGAAAACTAAAATAAATCTAATAAAATGAAGCTGAGATTCGCAAACTAAACATAGTGCTTTAAGAATGGAAGCAAAAGTAAATATTGAAATAAAAATAATTTTCCATATCCACTGGATTAGTAAATATTTCTGAATCCGAGGTCCATTTGACCTTGTCAGGTCAGGTTAAAGGTCATTTAAAGTCAAATCGAGAAAAATTCCCTATGGTGAAGGCAACCATGGTTATTATGTTTTTGGGGTCGCTGAGTCCGAAGGTCTGTTTGACCTTGTCAGATCATGTTAATGTAAAGACTCGTGAATGTTGAGAGTCTTTCGGTCCATTATAGATGAGCGATGCAAAAATTGCTTTGTAAGACAAGCCAACTAATAGGTATTAGAATTAAGTAGCTTTCAAATTACATTGACCCTGATGCAACAAGATCAAATGGAGTCCCAATAAAGCGACCAAAACAACACTGGAATATTCCCACTAAAGCCTATTTAGAAGTTACTTAGTTTAACCTCAAATTGACATTGATCTTGACCCGGTAAAAACAAAAGGAACCCTAATTTGGATTCAGCGACCCGAAAAAACATTTAATTACTTTTGTTGCCCCTGCTATAGTGGATTTTTCTTAGTTTCACCTTGGAGTGACCTTATAATGACCTTGAAACTGATCTAACAAGGCCAAACAGGCCTCGGATTCGGACTAAGCGACACAAAAAACATAATAACCATGGTTGCCCTCACCATAGGGGATTTTTCTCGGTTTGACCTTGAAATGATCTTTAACCTGACCTGACAAGGTCAAACAGACCTCGGATTCGGACTTAGCGACCTCGAAAACATTGGGATACCTATAGGGGTCTAGTCCGATGTACAGAATTTTTTTTGTTTTAAAACAAATTAATTCTACTTACGGTTAGCAACGTATGCCTATTCACATATCAATATCCATTAATGTTTAATAAATCATGCATATCTAATAATTTTTTACAAATACTCGAACAGTTTCTTAATGTTTTGGCTGTTTGTCAGTAGATAAACTAAGTGCGTTCTGGCTCAATTTGCATAAATTAGGCATGAAAATGGATGTTCTAGTAGATTTCCTGGAAGAAGGTTTTTTGTTGGATTTTGGGGATGTTAGAAAAAATAGGTTTATGGTTTGAATTATCCGAAAAAGATTATGCCTAACTCGTCTTCATTATTTGGCCCACTCTGTATAGGGTCCAGGTGTGCCGGCACGCCTTCGCCATTCCTAGCCGCGAGCAAGAGGGGTCTTCTCGAGTTTGGAGAAGATCTCAAAAAAAGATTTTTGTTTGGATTAACTGAAATAGAATTCTTCACTCACCTGTCTTAATTTTGGCTATCTTTTTCGGCTAATTCAAACCATAGACCTATTTTTTCTAAAATCCCCAAAATCCAGCAAAAAACCCTCTTCCAGGAAATCCATTTTCATGCTTAATTTATGCAAATTGAGCCAGAACGCATAGTTTATCTACTTCTGTCACCATTTACATAAAAAAATGTGGTGACCGTAAAATAACATGTCAAAAAGTCATGCGAAAGAAATCAATTTTTTCGAAATGACCTTAATTGTAGTTTTGGTCTCTACTATTCTGTTAGCTCTATTGAGTCTATTGTATAATTGGTTTAAAAAGGGATCTGTATGTAACGGTGATAAGTGTCCACATACAATTTTTGTTTTGTATTAAAGCCGGTATTTCCTTTCAGTTTTGCATGCACACCACCACTGGGACTCTAGCAGTTAGTCTCTCTCTATTCGAACCGATTTTGGCTGATGATCTTGAGATACTGAATGAACCCTTGTTGCAGGTCACCCCAACGGCCCCCACGAGCAGCACCCGCACAACCACCACCAACACCCCGCCTTCACCAGCGCGGGACCCCCATCGGACGGGCCCCACCACCCCCACCACAACCCCTCCATCACCAACAACAACAACAACAATAACAACAACAACACAGTGAAAGTATGTGCGGGGTGCGGCGGCAAAATCGTGGAACGGTTCCTCCTCCACGCGTTGGACCGCTATTGGCACAACGGTTGCCTCAAGTGCTCGTGTTGTGCGGCCATGCTGGCAGACATCGGTACGTCGTGTTTCACCAAAGGCGGCATGATCCTCTGCAAGCAGGACTACATGAGGTAAATTTGCTACTCATCTCGATTTTGCGATCACGAGACCATCGTTCGTGGCGGCTCAGAAGCAAGCACAATGTTGCCGAAATCCTTTGTTCTAGTGGAATCAAATTAGGGCCATATTTTTGACAGTAGTTAAAGCGCGAAATTTGAATCGGAACTAACACTACTCAAGAAAATTGGCATAAATGTTCAAGGTGGCCACCGAGGTACCCGAGATACTTCGTATATGAATTCTATGACTAATTTTAAGCAAACATGATTCTATTCACTTTTCCCGAATTCCCAATGGTTCTTGAAATATCGAAGTTTGAAGTTGCCAGATCGTTTCGGAAGTTGCGAAAGTGTAAATTACATTGTTGCGACTAGAGGGCTTAGAAAAAATGTGGTTTATTTTAATAAAAGCGTAATGACAGAGTAACTCTATTAAAGCTGCTCAATGTGATCACCGCCTTGTGCCACCTAATTCTCTGTCGAAGATCTCGTTCCCAGTTGTAGTTCTCATTGTTTTTCACATCATCAAACGCTGTTTGAATATTCTCAATGAGTTGGTCCCTGCAGATAGACTTTCTCATTGAATAGGTAATTGTCTACGTGTCCCACATGAAAAAGTCCAACGGACTGAGATCCGAAGATCGTGGTGGCCAAGCACCACGATTCCATCGATTTGGATACTTTTCATTGGGAAAATTAGTAACATCTCTTCCATAATGGAACGGAGCACTATCATGTAAAAAGAACATCGTCCTTCTGATTTGAAGCGGAATGTCCTAAAGTATTAGAGGTAGATCGTTTTCCAAATAGGCCCGGTACATCTCGCTGTTCAAATTTCCGTCAAAGAAATGTGGTCCGATAACTTTATTACTTCCAGCCCAAAGATGTACTGAGAATCTTCTCTGAAAATGTAGCTTCGTCACAGGAAAGGGTTCTTGATTGCTCCACCATTCACAAAGACGAACTCTTTGGGGAAGATCCGTGGGGAGAAGTTCTTGTACCGTTTGGTAATGATTGGGATGCAGTCTGTTTTCTCGCAAAGTGTCTTGCACAACTGTTAAATGATGGCAACGAACTGACAATCAATAATTTTCTTCTAATCCCAGCTAAGTGGCTAATTATTATTACCTAGCTCACTAGTATCAATAGTGCAATTTACTCTTTAGCAACAGCCCATACGATCTGACAACTTCAAATCCCGATATTTCAAGAACTGTAAGGAATTCTGGAAAAGTGAATATAATCATTTTTGCTTAAAATTAGTCATAACTATCTCGAATACCTCGGTGATCACCCTGTATTTACTAAATTTTGATAGGTACTACGCGAAAATCAATTTTTACTATTTGCGTTCCAAATGAAATTACAAGTACATTTTTTTAATATTATGATATGGTTATTAAATTCATTTTTAATGTTACTAATGAAAATATTTCATTTTCTGTAAGAGGATATAAAGAAAGTGATTTATTACAAATAATATTCAGTGACTACCAAATTTCCTTTTGTAAAAATCGGATCAACTTAATTTTTGGTTGATGATGATCATCATAATAATACTACTAAAATCAAATTGTTAAAATAGATAGTTTCGCTTATGTCGTTATTTATTAAATTACTCTGTTTATCGGTAAAATTTAAATTTTTCTTACTGTTTTTTTTTTGTAGGCAGATTTGCCATAGCCAGGGAATTCCTTAAAGTCATTTCATATTAACCAATATATTGTATGAAACTTTTTTCAACACAACTATTGGCTGATATATACTGATAATAAGTCATGAATTTCAGTTTTTATTTAAAATCTATTAATTTGGACGTTTTGAAAAAAATATATGAAATATACCTTTGCAGCAGAAGTATAAATCTAGGGTTATTTTCTTTAAACTAGTTTTGCCTAACCAAAAATTACACACTGAAATAAGCTTACAAATAAAATATAAAAAATATATCTTATCAAATACCACACCTCGGTAAATTGTTAAGGTTAACGACAATTTTTTTTTGTTTTCAAGACAGAGAATTATTACGTTTCGTTTTCAATTACTTTTGACAATGAATTTTTTTGTTTATCTGCTTCTATAGCTGGAGATATGATGATCCACCACTTATCCAGTGAAGCAATTGTTACTATTTTATGATCATTTCAGTAGAATCGTTGTACTTGTTTCTGAAGCCTAATTAGGTACTATAAGTCTATTTTTGTGTTTGGAAATTATTTTCATATTATTTATTGTTGAATGGTTTTGGTGGAAAAATGATATAAATAGGATTAAGTGACACAAATACTGTAAAGATGCAAAACTTAAAAATTTTAAGGTCCTTAGAGTTATGTCAGTGGTTATTTACGGAATATTTATTAATAGTAGTAGTAGTGCAGTATTGTTTTGACATTTAAAATCAACATGTTTGTCTTATTTATATTATTTGATCTCTCTTAAGATATATACAAAGTGTTTGTAAATAAGTGCGAAATATTTTAGGGAGTGGTTGCCGAAGTTATTTTGTGAAAAAAGTTCATATAACGCAGGTCGAAATATGCTTCGTTTCCGAGATACAGAATGTTTAAATTTTAATTTTCTATTTATTTTTATTAATTATTTCAAAGAGTTTTTAAAGACAGTGACTCAACATTTAAAAAACGCTTTGAAGTGATCCGAATATTTCTACTTGCACCAGTGGCGTTCGTGCGAGAATGTTACAATTTTTTTAATAAAAAAAAATAGTACGCTACTGATTTTTTCCCGTTTTGATAATTTTTTAGAAATCCGTCATCAATTCTGAATGAAATTGGTCTCTTCAATTGTTTTCGTAGGATGCACCGTTTTTGAGGAAAACAAATAAAACGTATTTTATTGCAAGTTGTGTATTTTTAATTTCTATTGATACATAGTAGGTTGCTTTCAATATTTCTAAATAAAATGCAACCATCAAATTTCGCGTCAATATCTTCAAAACTTTGAATTAATTAATAAAAATAAATAAAAAATTAAAATTTAAACACTGTATTTTAAAATCAATGCAGTGTCCTCAAACTTGGAGATATTTGAGTATTACCTAAATATAGGTGCGAAAACTCGACGTGCCGAAATATTTTTTTGCAAGTATAATCATTCATTTTAATACCTACTGACTTACCACAATAATACGAGGAAACATTTCGGGAACCGCTGATTCCATCGATAGCTTGGCTGGCTCTATTTACAAATGTTTATAACAATGTTCGTTAATTCATTGGTACCTTATTAATGGGTCATTTTATTATGTTTTCTGACACCAGCAAACTATATTTTTATAAAACACAGTTAAAAAGAAGAATCCAGAAAAATAAATAAATAATATAAATTAAAATAATTTTTCATGAAACTTAAACAATCTGTGGCCGCAACTAATTATTTCTTTTAATGTAGAGAAGGATTCCAGAGGTTCTAAAAAAATTTTCATTATTAATGTTAAGCTCCATTTTTCAAGTTAACAATTTTCATTTGTGAAAATGCTTATTATTAATGCATTGTACTTATTTATTGAAAAAAATTCTCTCCATATTTATAAGAATCGAATAGATAGATATTGTTAAACGTCAACTAAGGCCAAATTTGCAACAATTTCTTTTAAAACTGCATAAATTTAATGTCTATAACGGATAACAATAGTGGCAAAGAATAATTCTTTAACACGTCAAATTAATTGTAGATATTTAAAATTAAGTATACAAAATTTAAATTTTGTCACGTGGTCAGGAACGCAATGTGACGTCATTTAGTTTAGTTCTCGATTCTCTATCGCACTAAATGACGTCACGATTCATTATCATTAAATATTAATTGACAACCTACAAGAGATTTCTAAAATTTTCACTGAGATTATAGATATTTAAAAAACTATATGCAAGTTGTCTATTCCCGGCAAGACAGGCGGAGAATATATCAGCGCAGGAAACCGCCACAAGTCCTTGGCACCAGGAAATTCAATTTGCCACCGACTTTATCTACATTCCATAAAAACCATTAAAAACCCCGATCCGGCCGATGGATGGAGATATCAGGAACGAAACGTTTCCACCGTATCGCTGACCGTCGATTCGCGTGTAATCGTCCCAATAAAACAAAGGAATGAACTTATGGTTTATTATAATGAGACGGCGGATCGTGATTAGGCCCTTTTTGTGGCGTGCGATAATGCATCGATCTGCATTGCGGTCTGTTTAGAGCCGTCTAATTTATTAGCATAAGTTCTATACACGCCGCGACTATATCGATCCAGCTGGGAACCCTCCTCGAGCTTCGGGCGAGGGGCGAGGGGACGCACTAATGCTTATTATCAACATTTATGTCGCGGGGTTGCTTAATCAAAATACCGAGAGGGCTTGTGTTTGCGGACTTTAGAAATATAATCGTTATATGTCTAATAGTCATATTTTTGTAGACAAATGTGTTAAATTCTATTAATTCTTTAAATATTTTATAGTATTCTTAAAATACCCTGTATGTTCAACGTTAAAACTTAAAGCAATGACATCAGTAAGTTAAAATGTCGATTTTTAATGAAAAAAATCAGTGATAGTTTATAAAAGCGATGCAAATTAGCATTAGAGGAGAAACTGGAATTGTTATTATTAATTTAATCATTATCTAGGCTTAGTGCACGTGCAGAGTCTAACAGAGCCGGCGCGAGGGTCGGTGGCCTTCACAGCTGACTCGCGTTTTGAACTGTTCAGTTATTTACGGTACCTTGTAGTAGTTGGCGTCGCGTCGATACCTTTCCTTTAACGTTCGCTGTAAATTGTATTCGCCGTGTGTATTCAAATAATTATTTGTAAATAGTAACAATTTACATTAACAATTATTAGTTGCGAGGAAAAGTGAAATAAAAGAGAAAAGAAATAGACGGGAATTATGGTTTGGCAGTGATCCCGAAGGTTTCAGTGACATACGCATTAAAGGAAATGACTTGTTTTGTACTGTGTGTAAACGCATTATAAATTCTTATTACAAAACTAAAGTGACAAGACATT